GCTGTCGGGCAGCGCCGCGACGCCCAGCGGGCCGTAGCAGGGCGCTGTGGGCACGCAGGGAGCCGTGGGGAGGCCGCTCCGGTGGCACCGGCACCGGCACCGGCGCCAGGAGCCGCTTACCGGCAGCGGGAGGCAGCGGGAAGGAGGGCAGCGGGCTGCCCGTGGGGGACACCGGGGTGCCGGACACGTCACTGGGTGCTGCTGAGGCCGGGGCTGCCGTCCTGTTATCCCCTGCAGCAGGAAAGCCTCCCGTGAGCGGGAACAGGGAACATGCAGCAGTGCCGGCATGCACCGGCATGCACCAGCGTGAATATGTGTGCACCAGCATGCACAAGTGTGCACCAGCATGCATAGGTGTGCACCAGCATGCATAGGTGAGCATAAGCATGCATTGCACCCAGTGCAGCGCTGGGCACCCCCAACTCACCGGCGTGGGCGCAGTAGCAGCAGGCATCACCGTGTCCCTCCACCAGCACCTGGCCCTGCCGGCACAAGGGGCAGCGTCACCCCGGCAGCGGGTGCCCACGTGCAGGGGGGACGCTGCAGCCCCCCCGCAGGCGCTGCGGCGCCCGCCGCCACTCACGCTGGGGCAGGCGCCGTGGGGGCAGTAGGGCGAGCAGCGCACGGCGCCCCGGGGCAGGCACTGGCACACGCGGCACTGCCCCCAGCGCCAGCGCGCGCCCAGCGCCCGCGCGCGGCCCTCGTGCTCGCACTGCTCGCACGGCTCCGTCTGGCACCTGCGAGCAACACGGGGCGCTGCGAGCTCAGGACCCCAGCCCCGGCGGGGACCCCAGCCCCGGCACGGCGCCGGTGCCCGCGGCACGGCGGGGCGGCGCTACCTGCGCGCCTTGCGGTGGATGCCGCGGCACTGGCGCCCGCCGCCGTGCCGGCTGGGGTTGGTGGGGCTGCGGAAGGACCACTGGATGCTCTGCACGCCGCACGGCCCCAGGCACTCGCCCCAGGGCGACCAGGACGACCAGCCGCAGTTCACTGCGAGCCACGGACACGGTGAGGGTGCCCATGGCATGGCACGGCGCAGTGCAGCATGGCTTGGTGCAGTGCAACACGGCATGGTGCAGTGCAGCACAGCATAGTGTGGTGCATCACGGCACGATGCAGTGCAGCAGGGCATGGTGAGGTGCAACACAGCCCGGTGCAGCATGGCATGGTGCGGTGCAGCAGGGCACAGCACAGCAAAGGGCGGCACGGCATGGTGTGGTGCAACATGGCATGGTGCGGTGCAGCAGGGCACGGCATGGTGGAGCACGGCATGGTGCCGTACAGCATGGCACGGCATGGTGCAGCATGACACAGCATGGTGCAGCAGGGCATGGTGCACCGCAGCACGGCACAGCATGGTGCAGCATGGCATGGTGCGGTGCAGCAGGGTATGGTGAGATGCAGCAAGGCATGGTGCAGCATGGCACAGCATGGTGCAGCACAGCATGGCGCGGTGCAGCACGGCACGGCATGGTGCAGCACAGCACAGTGTGGTGCAGCACGGCATGGTGCGGTGCAGCAGGGTATGGTGAGATGCAGCAAGGCATGGTGCAGCAGGACACAGCATGGTGCAGTACGGCACGGCATGGTGCAGCATGGCACAGCATGGTGCAGCAGGGCATGGTGCAGCACCGCACAGTGTGGTTCAGCGCGGCATGGTGCAGTACAGCAGGGTATGGTGAGGTGCAGCAAGGCATGGTGCAGCAGGACACAGCATGGTGCAGCACAGCATGGCACGGTGCAGCACAGCATGGCGCAGTGCAGCACGGCATGGTGCAGTGCAGCAGGGCATGGTGAGATGCAGCAAGGCATGGTGCAGCACAGCACAGCATGGTGCAGCACGGCACGGTGTGGTGCAGCACGGCATGGCATGGTGCGGCGCGCAGCCCCCCTCGCCCGCACTCACCAGCGCACGCGGGGTTGGGGCGGCAGCGCGTGAGCCGCCCGTCGCGGCAGGCGCACACGCGGCACGCCACCTTGGCCGGCTGCCCCGGCGCGAAGCGCGTGCCGTCCGCCTCGCAGGGGCACTCGTGCGGGCGCACGCACCGCCCCGCGCCCGACAGCACCAGCCCCTGGGCGCACCAGCAGCCTGGGCGGCGAGCGCCGCGTCACCGCGCTGGCCCCGCCACGGGGACAGGGGGACACGGGGGTGATACCCGCCCCGGCGCGCACCTGGGCTGCAGGACCGGTTGTGCTGGCACTTGGTCCCGGCGGAGAGGTCGGCGCAGGACGCGGGGCAGGGCGCGCACGGCTGCCTCTCCAGCCCCGGGGGACACGCGGTGACGTTGAGGCAGCCGTCCTGTTTGCATGTGTCTGCCCCGAGGGACAGCGGGGATCAGCGGCCGCAGAGGGTCCCCGGAGAGCGCAGGGTCCCCAAGGAGCGCAGGGGCCCCAAGGAGCGTGAGAACCCCAAGGAAGGTGAGATGTCAAGGACTGGTGTGCTCAAGGGGCAAGAGGTCCCTGAGGACCACAGAGTGCCCAGGGAGCAGGAAGACCCCAAGGAATGTGGGTCCAAGCCCCAAGGAGCATGGGATCCCCAAGGAGCAGAGGCTCCCCAAGGAGCAAAGAATCCTTGAGGAGCATCAAGCCCTTGAGGAGCATGGGGTCCAGTGGAACATGAGTCCCCAAGGAATGTGGGGTCCCCAAGGCAAGCAGGGTCCCCAAGGAGCAAAGGACCCTTAAAATGTACAAGGTCCCCAGGGAGTGCAGGGTGCCCAAGGAGAGCAGGGTCCCCAAGGAGCACAGGGTCCCCAGGGTGCCCAAGGAGCGCAGGGTCCCCAGGGAGCAAGGGTCCCCAAGGAGCACAGGGAGCCCAAGGAGCACAGGGTCCCCAGGGAGCACAGCGTCTCCAGGGTGCCCAAGGAGCACAGGGTCCCCAGGGAGCACAGGGTGCCCAAGGAGCGCAGGGTATCCAAGGAGCACAGGGTCCCCAAGGAGCACAGGGTGCCCAAGGAGCACAGGGTCCCCAGGGAGCCCAAGGAGCGCAGGGTCCCCAGGGAGCACAGGGTGCCCAAGGAGCACAGGGTCCCCAAGGAGCAGAGGGTGCCCAAGGAGCGCAGGGTCCCCAGGGAGCACAGGGTGCCCAAGGAGCACAGGGTGCCCAAGGAGCGCAGGGTCCCCAGGGAGCACAGGGTGCCCAAGGAGCGCAGGGTATCCAAGGAGCACAGGGTCCCCAAGGAGCGCAGGGTCCCCAAGGAGCACAGGGTGCCCAAGGAGCACAGGGTGCCCAAGGAGCACAGGGTATCCAAGGAGCACAGGGTGCCCAAGGAGCACAGGGTCCCCAGGGAGCACAGGGTCCCCAGGGAGCACAGGGTCCCCACGGGCTGTCCCCGAGGACAGGGCCCCGTCCCCCCGCGCAGGCAGCGTCTCACCGAGCTGCAGGGAGGCGGGCGCCGCGGCGGGCGGCGGGGCGCAGGGGCGGCCGCCGTTGCGGGGGGACACGCAGCCCCGGCGCCGCAGCACCACGCCGCCGCAGCCCCCCGTGCAGTTGGACCACGGCGACCACTCGCTCCAGGCGCCGTCCACTGCGGGCGCGAGGCAGAGCCTGGGCTGGGGCACCGGGGCGCCCAGCCTGCCCCCCAGGGCCCCCCCACAGCCCAGACTGTGGGAACCCCCCAGATCCCCAAGCAGCCCGGGATGTGGGAACCCCCTGATGTCCCCAAGGAGCCCAGGATCCGTGAATCCCCTAAAACCCCAAGGAGTCAGGAATGTGGGAACCCCCTGATGCGCCAGGGAACCCAAGTTGTGGGAATCCCCTGAAACCCCAAGGAGTTGGGGATGTGGGAACCCCTTGATGTGCCCAGGGAGCCCAGGCCTTGGGGACCCCCTGAATCCCAAAGGCAGCCCAGGCTGTGGAGATCCCCCCCACTCCCCCAGACAACTCGGGATGTGGGGGGACCCCCCAGCACGGTCCAGGCAGCCCAGGATGAGGGGACACCCTGATCCCCCCATGCAGCCTGGGACTCTCCAGTGCCCACCAGGCATCCTGGGACACGAGGAACCCCAAAACCCCTCCCCAGACAGCCTGGGATATGGGGGTCCCCAATGCCCCAGGACAGCCCAGGATACAGCGACCACCCCCAGCCTCCCCCTCGGGCAGCCTGGGACATGGGGACCCCCTGATCCTTCCCCCTGGTCCTGTGAGACAAGGGACCGCCCGGGGGCCCCAGGCAGCCGGGCACATGGGATGGGGCCCCGGAGGCACACTGGATTAGGGTTAGGGTTAGGGTTAGGGTTAGGGTTAGGGTTAGGGTTAGGGTTAGGGTTAGGGTTAGTGTCAGGGTTAGGGTTAGTGTCAGGGTTAGGGTTAGTGTCAGGGTTAGGGTTAGGGCTGTGGTTCAGGTTAGGGACTCCCATTGGCGGCGCTCACCAGGGCAGGCGGTTAGGTTTAGGGTTGGAGATAAGGTTAGGGTTAGGCTTAGGGCTATTTTTAGGGCTCGGGTTAGGGTTAGGGCTAGGACTAGGACTAGTGTTAGGGCTGGGATTAGGGTTAGGGCTATGGTTCGGGTTAGGGCTAGGACTAGGGCTAGGGTTAAGTCTCACGTTACGGCTCGGGTTAGGGCTAGTGTTCAGGTTATGGCCCCGCGGCAGCGGCACTCACTGGGGCAGGCTATGGTCAGG